ATTCCTAGGAATATCGCCCCCCCCCCCCTGGGGGGCGAAAATCCTAGGAAATTCGCCTCCCTTTAGGAAATTCGCCCCCCTTTAGAAACTTCACCTTTTCTTTAGGATTTTTGTCCTCCGTTCAAAATTTCGCCCTTCCTAACAGTTTCATGGGATAATTATTACATGGCTTTAGTCATTTGAAATCAGATTCAATTCAAAATTGTTAAGACAGAGCTTGAAATAACAACCGATCAATGATCGGCATGGAATTGCTTATGATCGGCGGAAAAGCAGGGTTTCGGTTTACAACCTGAAAAAATCAGGGAAAGTCATGATCGAGAACTTTGGGAACGTTATTTCAAGCCCTGTAAGAATACAAATTTACAATTACATGTATCGAAAGGACTTACACAGTTCACAGTTAATAGAATAAGACTTATGACGCTTCACAGCACACCATGCATATTTTGCATTTTCAGTGTTAATCCTTAAACTCATTGTTAAAAAGTAATCACCGTGGTGGTTATTGTAATTATTGGTATTGTTTTGCATCCAATTTTGTCGTTATCGGAAAATTATGGCTTACAAGTTGTCACTATTTTTTACTGGCATTATTTCAATGTAGTTTGTAAATTTCAGAAGCGAAGGGTAGAACTTGCCAATATAAGCAATACTCCAATAATATACGTTTCAAAAAAGACAAAAAAGCTTTTAGTATTGCAGAGTTACATTCTCAAATGTTTAAGGCACTAATAAAATCAAAATATCATGAAATTATTTGAATAAACCACACCACATATATATAATGCAATTTTCTTTGCGGAAGTTAAAAATCAAGATTACATCACTGACACTGTCACTGACATGGAAAGTTGACGATTCAATGGACAATAGTGAATACGCTTCCCAACAAATTCCATAGATTTTTTATTAATCCTATAGTGGTCTATAGTTTATTGTTAGCAAGTGATTAATGTGGCGGCTATTGTTAACACTGGTATTGATAAAATTTGCAAGCGATTGTTTTTATAATATGTTATGTGAATGTAACTGCCAGAAGAATACGACAACATCATTTTATGCGATCTCTGTGGGCAATGGTTCCACTTTAGATGTGTAGAATATCTCGTAGAATATGACACATTGACACTAGTCTAAGTACCTCAAATGAGTGGTTATGCAGACTGTGCAATCCACCAGCTGCTAAGAAGCTTAAAATGTGTATGTGATTTTGTCTCCTTGTAATAAATAAATAAATAAATCACACAATACATCTTTTCAACTTGCAATCGTTTTGTTTTTAGATCAAAAATTCAAAATTTATATGGGGGGGGGCGAAATTCCTAAAGGGGGGCGATATTCCTAGGAGATTCGCCCCGGGGGGCGAATATCCTAGGGATATCGCCCCTTTTGAGAGGGGGGCGAATCTCCTGGGGGGGCGAATCTCCTGTGACACCGGTTTTGTAATCATTAAAATTTTGTAATCGTAAAAATTGTAATCCGGCCACCTTAATATGTTTTAAAACTGGTGTAAAAGCTACTATAATAGAGTTGTAAAATCAAAAACTTCGTTAGCGGTTTGACGTTTGCCGTAAACGTCAATCTAAAACTCTATTGACATCAGCAGACTTCCCGTCTTCTGGGATACGGACGTTAAAATCGTATGTATACCTCGGACCCCTATCAATTGAGTACTAGCCTGTTGGGAAATCCGCTCACCAATAAGTGATAAACTCAAATTAAACTATAAAAAGTCGCATTTCGTGGTTCTCAGTTGTCAGTTGTCAGACTCGGTAGAGGCAGTACCCCCAAAATAGTGCATGGTAAACCGAGCGTGCAGGGGCGTAGGAACGGGGCACGTGCACCTTGCTAATTTTTTCAAAGAACTAAAAGTGCCCTTTTTTGTGATGAAAATACCCTTTTTGTAATGAAAAGTGCCCTTTTTGTACAAGCTATTGTCGCTGTAAATACTAAATTAACATCAAAGGTGCCCTTTTTGTTTGTAAATTTCCAAGTTTTTTTTAAAAATTTGGTCAAAAACGTGCAATTTCGGTATGGTACGACGGGAAAATCCCCCACCCGTCGCCAACAGGGAAAAATTTTTTAGGTGCCCTTTTCAATACCCTAAAGTGCCCCTAGAAACCGGTGCCCCCTCCCCCAATCTTTTGATGCCTCCTACGCCCCTGCGAGCGTGAGAAAGGCTAACTGACTGGATCGTCATTTTCACGTTTTTTTAGGAACCAGTGTTGAACGAGTCGAGTCATTGACTCGAGTCGCTATTTCCAGCGACTCGACTCGAGTCCAATACGAAAAATGACTCGAATCAACAGCCCCAAATTACTCGACTCGGACTCGACTTGCTGATTTTTGCCGTAAATGACTCGAGTCAACTCAGCTACAACTTGTACAGAATAAATTCATCAAAATTATTGTGATTGTATTGCTTGGGAAGAACAATGAGCTCTCACTGTGAACAATGAGAACTTCGAAACTTTATCAGAAAATATATGGGGATTTGCATACTAGAATATATTCCTGACGGGCATGCCTACAGGCAGCCTCCTCCGCAGGCATCTCTAATATATAAGTTCTCGACGATTAAGAGATGCCTGCGGAGGAGGCTAGCCTACAGGTATATTACATTTCTGTTTTTAGAAACAACGCTAGTACCAAAATGGAGTCTCAAAATGTTTTGTACTTATATACTAATTCTGACCGGCTCTTTTCATTTTTGGTATTTATGAAGTGCTATATAATTTCAAATTAGTATATGTAATCATGCGATGTTGCTCGTACAAATAGGGATTAATAGTACGAGTGATGTTTGGAAATTTTGCCAAAATTGGACGAGCCACCGGGGCAAATTGGATTCTTCTCCGTCAACATCATATTTTCGCGCCAAAGCCCAGTCCTGCCACACTTTCAACCAAAATTTGGTACTTTTGTTCGTATTTTCATTTAGTTCTTTTGTTAAAGCAAAATTTGGTGCTTTCGTATTTTCATCTAGTTCCTCAAGGGCAATTTCATTTCACATTTGTGTTCAAAATACCTTTCCGCCATTTTGTTTGTTTTGGGAAAATCATTAATTGTACTGCAGTACAATTAATGAAATAATTGTACTCCTCTCAACCAATCAGCATCCAGTAATTTTGTCATGCTAATAATAAACTTACAAAGCGTGGATTAATTAAAGTCTATTGTTTGTTAATTCTGACTCCAGGTGCAATTAAGTTATGCTAGTTGTACGTACACTCGATTAGCAGGCATGACGAGACGTTTCATGTAGTCGTACTTAATATTGACTAGAACTGTGATATTGGTACAGCCTAGCTGCCCAAATACTGTTATTGAATTACTAAATTGATTAGCTTAAAAGGTAAATTTGATTACTAATTTCAGACTGCAAGCTAGGGTAGCGAACCATTACAGAAAGCGTGGGGTGGACTTAATCAAATTCCCTGACTTAAATCAAGTCTAGCTATTGACTCGACTCGACTTAAAGCAGTGACTCGACTTGACTCGAGTGAAGCCACTGACTCGACTCGGCTTGAGTGAAGCCGCTGACTCGACTCGATCAGAAACTGAAATGACTCGACTCGTGACTCGACCTGTAGATGATACAAAACTGTTAGGAACACGGTTAGGAACCTTTACAACACTGTTAGGAACACGGTATGCTTGATTGTACAATTAGTGCATTAATCAGGGCCTCTTTTAACATTAGTGGCCCCTCCAGTCGGCAATTTCCAGAATCTCAGAATCCTCAACGGGCCTGATCTGCTACCCTATGACGTATGCTTATTAGTTAAATCATGCGTATATATGCTGGTAGCTGCAGTGATAGACTTGCCGACTGGAACTTCTCCAGGTCCCCCGCGAAATTTCCCCCCCCCCCAGTTACACATCCGTAAAAGATGCCCTGGCATTAATTCTATTCTTAACGTGTTTAGGTTTATTCTAAAGCCAACAGCAAAAATGACAGAAGGAAAGGTTGGCTATATCTTCTTTATGCAACGCCAGAGTTATGGACCACAACATTACCACACAGGACACAAATTTTATATAATGCTGACATAAGTATGGTGCTCCTCCAACTGAATCTAAAACCTGGTTCTATTGTTGTTGAAACGGGTGAGTTTAGGCAAAATGGGAAGGAAAAGGACGGACAAATTACCACAAAACGATCCGGCTGCCTTATCCATGTTACAGCTTAATGAAGTTGATGACTTACAAAAAAATCTATATAAATTATCCGTCACTTGCATGGTAGTAAAAGCTTGTGAAAATATTGTCTGTTTTCCTCAAAATATAGAACGCTGAAGTTCTTTCCTAGTAGCATACGATAAATTGAACGGCTCCTGGAACCAATTTATCCAAAAATTGAGACAATTGTTGCCTTAAAGCCGGTTTTCCACTAGGCGGAATTTTGCGCGCGGAGCGGAATCTTTCTTAGTTTGTCTTTTCTAATTAGTTCCACCCGAGAAATCACAAGACAAAGAAAAATTCCGCTCCGCGCGCAAAATTCCGCCTAGTGGAAAACCGGCTTTACTGTCGATGCAATGGAAGTGTTGATAAAATATTGCACCAATTCCTTTCCTCAAGTTGATCAATTCATTTGATAGAAAATTGATCAACTTCCTGTTACTTTTGGATGAGCCAATTAGATTTCATTTCAGAACCGATTGACAAATAGGAAACGCACAGGAAGTAAAAAGAAATTTGAATTCGTATGAATTGATCAACTTGAGGAAATGAATTCATGCAATATTTTATCAATACTTCCATTGCATCGACAGTAAGAAAAACGATTTGTATTACGTAGACATTACTAGTTCAATAATTCTGACACATTCTAAAAAGTGATGGCATTTTTTTACGACAGACTCGTACTTTTGTTATTTTTGGTATATAAATTCCCGTATCTGCAGAAAAATCCTTGTTCCACTCTGTCAAATGGTGGACGCGAAGGGCCGCATTCTTAATCCTGATCTAACGTTGTTCCGCTTCATTTAAAATTTATGTGCCCTGGGGATTCATACCCAAAGTGCTCATTAATATATGTCGTTATTTAGGTACTGGAAGTGGTTCAATGTCTCATGCTATAATGAGGACAATAGCACCCACAGGTCACCTTTTTACATTTGAATTTCACGAACAAAGAGCGAAATTGGCCAGGTAAGGTATCAGGAAAGAACATGGAATATTTTCGGGCTGATAGGAATTATATGCCTTCTTTCCGTCCGAGACATTAGATGGAGATATGTTAGTTATTATAATTGATATGCAGGTGGTGTAGGACAAGATCAGCCATACGAAAGAACTTTGAAAGTATTTTAAAACAGGTCAAAAAATAGTCAGACATGATATTAAAGAAAATACAGACCGTGACGTTTTGATCATTATAAGGGGACGAAACAAGACCTAAAAGTCCAGAACTTAAGTCGTTTTCACACAATTAATGTGGTTTCCCAAAATGTTGCAGTGGTTATAAAGAAGTATAAAATGCACGCAAAGCAATCCTAATGTCGTTGAAATTGATGGAATACATGACAAAATAACTATAAAAAAATACTATCACCTGAAATGCATAGACAAAACTTAACATTAAAATTTTATCGATAAACTCGGAAGCTATGTCCATAACGAAAGTTGTTTTTTAATTGGGATAAAGCCTTGGACCATGGACCCTTACCTAATGATCCATGGTTGAGTAGCCAATGTATGAGTATCCAGCGATTTGTAATATAATATAGTTGAGTATCCAGCGATTTGTAATATCATATAGTCGATACTAGTACTTAGAATAAAAATGCTATCCTTTTCCGGAAGTTCAAAAAAATAGCAATAAGATATTTCCCACTTTTTTGAATTATAAAATAATCATATAAATTGTAACTCTGTTAGGGACGAATTTGTTCAACATGGTTTTGGTAATATTGTGACTGTCGCAAACCAAGATGTCCTTCTCGATGGCTTTGGTCTAAACAACGTAGCTGACGCAGGTATTCAATATTACACGTGACAATAGTCTGCTTGAAACTAGTAGGTATGGAAATATAACACTAGTAGGACAGAGTACATATACTGTGGAGTCGACTCGGAAAAATGTGCAGTCTGGAGTCGTTAACTTTATATGTAAGAAAAATGTACACAATTATTTGTCTATGATCTTTTTTATTTTTTATTGTTCGTTTTATTAGTGTTTCTGGATCTTCCTTCACCTTGGGAAGCCATAAAGTTTTCAAAAGACGCCTTAAAGGTAAATGATAATCATGCAGGCACATTTTAAAATACTCACATAAATTTTAACAGTATTTAGCACCCAAACTCTAAAATACGATGTATGTTTGCAGGCACATTTTGAAGCTATGGATTTTGCTCCCAGGCACTAAAAAATATTAATGAGCCCTGATGATAATTTACATTATTTTTGGATATCATTCTTTTCTCATCCATGCCGTTATGTTTGATATAATTATATATATAGACCTAGAACACAATATACACTCAAGAAGAATTCGTCAATCCCATAGAGCATGGGATTGAAATTGAACCCATTTACTGGCATCATGCTACTGTGCCAAACAGTAGCTTGGATGATGAAAATTCTTTAGATTTTAATTTCTTCCTTTACAGTCTACTTGGCCGATCTATCTGCCCAATAACTCATTCTATCACTTACAGTAGCTACAAAAATCTAGTGCAGTGAGTTTTGTCAAAATATTAATATTAATGAACTTCATCTTCTTACCAGACAAGTGGAGGACATATTTGTTCATTTTCACCATGCATTGAACAAGTTCAACAAACCTGCACCGCACTAAACGAGCAAGGATTTAAAGGTAAAGTGCCCTAAAATCCTTCCACTACATTAAATATAAAAAATTAAGAATGATTATTACAATGATTAAATGATAGAAACTGAAAAAAGTCAAGTGAACATACTACTGTTGGACAGTCAATAGTGATACTGTTGAAGATCCAAACTGTAACAGTTCACAGTTTTCAGTTTAATTGATTGAAATATTGAAATTGATTTATCAAATATCAATTATGAAATGTGAATGCTTCAATGCTGAGATTTAATTCTTCTGCACAAATATTCTCCCCAGGGTGTGTTATATGATATTTTCTGAATTCACGTCCTCGAACAATGCATATTTTGTTCTGGGTAATTTTGCAATTTCGGAATTAGTAGGAGATATTTACGGACCATTTTTAATTACACTGGCCGCAGCCAGTGTCATAATTTGCCCTTGCTTGAAAATGCTGTCTTTTTCGGTTTGTTTTTTGTCGCAAGTTTGACTTTCCATTGCGGCATCTTGAGCTCAGGATTGCGCAATTTAGCTAAAACATGCTCACGACGATTATTAGGACCAATTCTACACAACGTCAATCAGAACGACTTTCGTGTTTAACTACGTTACAAATCTTAGACGCTGTAATTGTGGGACGTATTCCATTTTATTATATAAACATAAGTGTTATATAGAGTTTTTGGCCACTGACTGAAAATCGTATTTAAACACACGTAAAAAATACGATATTTTTACGTGTGGAAATATCATTTGTTGTAAAACGCATTGCCATGGACGTTTTATTGTTTTCCACTGAATTTTGTTTATATAATAAACAGAAAAATACATGGGTGCTTGGAAATACCAGATTTATTTCTCGTGTTCAACATGATATCTCACTCGTTCGCTGCGCTCACTCGTGAGATATCATGTTCAACACTCGAAATATTTATTGTTTTCCACTGAATTGTGTTTACATAATAAACAGAAAAATACATGGGTGCTTGGAAATACCAGATTTATTTCTCGTGTTCAACATGATATCTCACTCGTTCGCTGCGCTCACTCGTGAGATATCATGTTCAACACTCGAAATAAATCTGGTATTCCCGCGCACCCAACACCGCGGAAAAACGTCTGCGCATGCGTCAACCTTACCTGTAATAGTATTGCGAACTTGATGAGAAGCTGTTCCGAACGTTCCCGAAGGCTCAAAATGGCGGTAAAAAGGAGTGACTTCATTGTGCGTCTTTACAGCCAGATTTCGAGTGCGAAAATAAACATGTCATTCTAAAAACTAGGAATAAATACAGCCAGAAGGTTCAAGAAATTGTATTGTACAAGAACATGAACTAAAGGTGATTGTTGACAAATTTATCGTCTGAAACATTTTGTTTATCAACTAAGCAACGACAATTTCCGAATTTTCGTTTGAGATACATTTCTTTAAAAAAAACTATGTCGCCAAATATAAAAAATTTTCGTGTTCACAATAATTAAACTATAGGATTTATTCTACAATTTGAGTGGGTTAAGAAGCTTAACTTTTCGAGAGTTTTCTTAACTTTTTAGTTTGAATTTTTGTTTTGAATAATTTTGCAAAAATTTTCGAAGTCGTATCCGTTAAAATCAAATATTTTTTACATGAATTATATTTCATTCCATACTTTAAATGCCAGGACGCTTTCAATTAATGTCTAGTCTACCCATTTGCTATATTTTCTCGTTTGTTTTACTAATTTTTGACCAATTAATAAGCATGTTTTTGTTTTAGAAATTGATATTCAAATTACCCGCCATATTTTCATAATTTGGTGCATGCGCAGACGTTTTTCCGCGGTGTTCGCGCACCCATGTATTATTCTCTATATATTTCATTGCGCATGCGCTTGAACTTTTCCGTGTTTTTCGATATATCGCTGAACTCTATTGGTTTTGTATGGATTTTTATTGTGCCGTCCTCTGAATGTTTGTGATCATGAAGTGACGGCCGTCAAGAAGTGAAGAAGATCTACATGTTTCAAATTATTTCTTAGAGTATTGCGATGGTATTTTACCAACCGCGAGGCCAGTGTGAACGCCTGAGCAGGCGTCTTGTTGGTTATGATTTTGGACTTTGCTCTTCATTGTACCGGTGCCCCCTCCCCCCAATCTTTCGATGCTTCCTACTTCCCTGTTTATCTCGATTCCAATCACAAGTCTATCCTTAAACCAATTGTGCAAGAAACATCAGGAGATCATCGCGGCCATTTAGGCAAGAGAGAAATAAACAGTACAGTCTATTATGTTAAACATTGCAAATTAATTTCTATACATAGGACTACAAACTTTACGCAGTCCACAACATGCATGGCTTTCACGCTGTTACTTACTGCTATACAGTATTGTATGACCCATGCACGTGCAAAATTTTCTTGATGCTGCTAATCGTCATTCAGGCGGACTGTTTTCCCAGACAAATTATTGTGATAGCATTGACTCTTTTTCTTCATCCACTTCTATATTCCATTTGAGTCATCAACTCCAGGTTGGCCATGCTCTCCAACCTCACCAGGACTGCAATCGCGTGCAATTATTTCGCGTTTACCTTTCCTTCAGTTAAGGTGTAAGTAAACTAGATGAAACAAAACACAATGCATTTATACAATATGTCAACAGCGCAAGTTTTCTCACATTTCTAGATATTCGTACAATGGAATGTTTGCAGCGAAGACATGATGTGAGGCCTATTACACTTCAAGAGCCAAACTTTGGAAAAATTGAGGTCAGGAAATATATATTACAACGTCTAATAAATTCTTAATACAATTTTCAAGGGTTTTTTATATTAAAAACCAACAGTAAGTCAATGCTTTCGTCCAATAAAGTTTTGTCATTGCGAGTGTTTAGATATTCTATCTTTACAGCCCTGGAAAATGTGTTGTATTTTCAGTGAACGAAATGTATTATGTTTTTTGAGTTAAAATGCTTGAGACGTTCTCTAATCGCAAATTGTTATTTGAACACCAACTTTCGACTGCCAGTCTGTAGTTCTCGACAGAGAAATCAATAAATAATGAACTAAGCCTGCAACGACTGACTACGGTTTACAATTACAATATAAAAATAGAATAAAATTTTGTTACGTGTTCGTGTTCTTTTGGAATAAAACTGTTATTGTTCACTCACTGGTATAAATATTTGGAATTATTCTAAGAACTGAAAGTGATTTCCGCATGCTAGACAGACAGAAAGCACTTGAAAAATGTTGAACATAACTGTAAATTCGAAAGCTCGCATATAAATAGAAATGTACGATGAGATATTACCAAAACCGCGGATGCTTCCTCGCTCGGAAAAATGTGCCCAATTTTTTTTGTCAAAACATTCAGGAATACGTCTACATTCCTACGCTTTTTCTAATGAAATGTCAAACTATTATTAACCATTGTAGCATAATTTCTCGCGGACCAATCAGATGTCGCCATTCCCACGATGTCGATTTCCTCACTTTAAGCAGAGCCTTAAGAATGTGACTGCATTCTTGAATGTTTTCACGTGAAAACATCCGCGACAGGAAGCATGCGCGGTTTTGATAACGTCTCGAGAAAGATTTTTGATTGTGTTTGTTATACTAAGACTAGGAACTGAGCAACCCTTCCATTCTCGGCAACCCCCAATATTTAACAATTGGTGAATGGTGTAAGGATATTCACCGAAACGCCAAGCGTTGATGTGAAAATCCTTTACCAGCAAAATATAAGATGAACCACATTCCGAATATCAACAACGTCTTGTATAAACTGAATTTCGACTAAATTTCGACTTTATTTCAAAGTTTTGTCAAACCAGCACTATTCACCTTGCACTATTCTCCGACGATGTGGTGAATAGTAGAAAAATTTGCTAGTCTTTGACCGGAACGGCACGGGAAGCCATTTTGTTTTTGTCCGGAGATGAATAGTGCACGGATATCCGGGGCTGAGCAGCCAATCTAATTGCGTGAAAAGCACTATCCACCGAGTATATGTTAAATGCATCCAACTACATGAAAAATATAAGGAGAATTTCGACGTTTGGAGCGAAGACCCTTCAACATACTATTATTAACCCCTTTCACCAAGCCCCAATAAGTCCATCTCTAGTTTTGTGAGTAGTTAAATGATACACTCAGAGATCCCTAAAACAAAATGTTCTAACAACATCTTTCTGTTACATATAAAGAATGATGAAAACGGTGAAGTGGAAGAATCATGCAGGAAACGTGTACACGAGGAGGTCGGCGAGAATAACGATGAGGTTGAGGAAGACACGGTAGAAGCAGATAATGAATCAGATGAGGTTAAGAGACGCCGAGCTGCCATATCGACGAAAAGTGAACGAACTGTTGGTATCGTAGCTGCGTGCCCTATGAGACAGATACCTGGTCACACTGGATATTTGACATTTGCTGTATTATATCCGTAGTATATTTATAATGATAATGATGGTTCAAAATAAATTGTGTTTTTTTCCCGAATACGAACTGTTAAAACTCAAGAAATATTTCCTGAGCCCCACACTGTCCATTCGCGTAAGTCCAATACTATCGTGCGTCTAAGTGTGTGTTAAGCGACAAGTATTATTTTGTACTTTACCAAGGTGGGATTAGTATTGCAGCCTGCAGGTACATATACGCCAATATTACGGTATAGTACTTTTTTTCAGCCAAGTACCACGTAGATACGCGGTGTTCTCACCATATGCATACTCGCTTTTTCCTGATACCATATGACTTCCCCATGCAGACCCAAGGAACACCGCGGAAAAACGTCTGCGCATGCGTCAACCTTACCTGTAATAGTATTGCAAACTTGATGAGAAGCTGTTCCGAACGTTTCCGAAGGCTCAAAATGGCGGTAAAAAGGAGTGACTTCATTGTGCGTCTTTACAGCCAGATTTCAAGCGCAAAAATAAACATGTCATTCTAAAAACTAGAAATAAATACATGTACAGCCAGAAGGTTCAAGAAATTGTATTATACAAAAACATGAACTAAAGGTGATTGTTGACAAATTTATCGTCTGAAACATTTTGTTTATCAACTAAGCAATGACAATTTCCGAATTTTCGTTTGAGATACATTTCTTTAAAAAAAACTATGTCGCCAAATACAGTAAAAAATTTGCGTGTTCACAATAATTAAACTTTAGGATTTATTCTACAATTTGAGTGGGTTAAGAAGCTTAACTTTTCGAGAGTTTTCTTAACGTTTTAGTTTGAATTTTTGTTTTGAATAATTTTGCAAAAATTTTCGAAGTCGTGTCCGTTAAAATCGACATTTTTTTTACATGAATTATATTTCATTCCATACTTTAAATGCCAGGACGCTTTCAATTAATGTCTAGTCTACCCATTTGCTATTTTGCAAAATTGTTCAAAACAAAAATTCAAACTAAAAAGTTAAGAAAACTCTCGAAAAGTTAAACTTCTTAACCCACTCAAATTGTAGAATAAATCCTAAAGTTTAATTATTGTGAACACGCAAATTTTTTATATTTGGCGACACAGTTTTTTTTAAAGAAATGTATCTCAAACGAAAATTCGGAAATTGTCATTCCTTAGTTGATAAACAAAATGTTTCAGACGATAAATTTGTCAACAATCACCTTTAGTTCATGTTCTTGTACAATACAATTTCTTGAACCTTCTGGCTGTATTTATTTCTAGTTTTTAGAATGACATGTTTATTTTTGCGCTTGAAATCTGGCTGTAAAGACGCACAATGAAGTCACTCCTTTTTACCGCCATTTTGAGCCTTCGGAAACGTTCGGAACAGCTTCTCATCAAGTTCGCAATACTATTACAGGTAAGGTTGACGCATGCGCAGACGTTTTTCCGCGGTGTTGACCCAAGGTATTAAAAACCGTGGTATATGTGTACGTCTGGCATGTCTTGGCATGAAACATGATTGGATTGGTGGGACTAAGGAAGTAAGGAATGTTGAAGAGACGATTGTAGTGTTTGTTTAGGCAATTGTGCTCCTTGCTCTAAAGCCGGTTTTCCACTAGGTGGAAATTTGCGCGCGGAGCGGAATTTTTCTTTGTCTTTTCTAATTAGTTCCACCCGAGAAATCACAAGACAAAGAAAAATTCCGCTCCGCGCGCAAAATTCCGTCTAATGGAAAACCGGCTTAACTCGTAGCTTCAGATTACTGAATGAATACCATTCAGAAACCTGTACTTTATGTACTTCATTTTAAAGAGTTAAGCCGTGGTTTTCCACTTCAACCGTATCGTAGCGAAACGTACTGGTGAGCATGCGCAGATTGAAAAAAGGTTTATAAATCCACGTACTTCCGCTTGTATTCGCGTATCAAAATAAAAAGTTCGTCGCAAGTCAACTTTTTGGCGTACTACGGAAGTACTAACCAATCAACATTCACGAAATTTTGAAATTTAAAAACGTTTTCGCTACGTTAAGGTACGGTACGGTACGGTACGGTACGGTACGGTACGGTACGGTACGGTACGGGCGAAGTGGAAAACCGGCTTAAGTCACCTTGAGTCTTACGTTTGTACCAGCTCAAGTACGCGGCAATAACCATTGGAGTACCAGTCGGATACGAATTGAGCTTCCCGCCCTTCGGCTTCGCATGCCCGCTTATACCGTCAGCTATGCAGGCTAGATACAAATAAAAATCCTGAATTATCGCACCTTGACTTTCCGTCGTCTCTCATTGCTTAAAATTACATTTTTTAACCACAACTATGCACGTCAGTGGTTTTAGATGTCCTAAAATATCATGTCTACCTCAAACAAAGATTGTTCTAGATTTTTCTTGATTTCCTGTCTCATTGATATTCATAGGACTTTATGCTATACAGCACGTGGTATATCAAAGAAAACCGACTTAATTAATCATAAATTAAAGTGGTATTAAAATAGTGTTTGGCATGAAGTATTATTTATTGACGTGATTTACCCAATCGCAACGGTGATTGCTAGATAGTATACTTCAAAATAAGGTTTCCGTTTTTATAACGTAGAAAAAACTATCCTAACGCAAAACTAAACCCTAATACTAAACCTAACCCCAACCTAACCCCAACCTAACCCTAACCTAAACCCTAACCTAACCCTATCTTATTTTAAAAATAGAATAAAAACGAAAATCTTATTTTGAAATATACTATCTAGCAATTGCCCAATCGCAATGGACGCCAGGAGTCAAAATAAAATTTAAAGAAATGCCAGACCAAATTTCTGATCAAATTTTGTTTTAACGGGACAATTTTGGAAAGTTATTTCAGAATCCGCTGCTTGCTACCTGGTATATAGCATGTTGATCCTGTCCTATAATTGTAACAAAATTAATGCACTTCATTTTCGTAAGTAATGATTTATGAGTAGTTTCATACCCCCAAATTCGAACTGGACGAGATTTCACATTTGAGCTAGAGTGCGAGCGGTCCCCCCTTTCCACGGGTTAAGGTAATTCCGCAGTAATTGTTCCCGAAATGAGAATGTGCTGAAACTTCCCAGGCATGGATCGGGAGTTTATGATATACTTAAAGTAAAATCACACAAAAAAGTCTGGGTCACCGAACTCGTTAAGAAGATATGACAATCACAATATACCACCTTTACCCCAATATGGCGCCATCTTGACGCTCATTACGAGTAACAGCAAACTCACAACAACCCGATATTTATTGACGTTTTTAGCGCGGATTTTGCTTTAGTAAACCTATCTTGTAATTATTTTTGAAAAAATATAGTTGTGTTTTGAGCAAAATGAAACTACTGATAGCCGAAAGCTCGTAGAAATAAATATTAAGTCAGAGAGCGCTCAATCAATAATGAAACTACTAATGTGTACAATTCCAATCAATAAATGTCTTTTGCACATTTCTTTACATATCTTTCTTGGAGAACATGCATTGATAAAGCATTTTTTTTCAAGATCCAGAAATGATTTTTCTTTTAATTTCGGATATGAAATGTAAAATGCATTAAAGAAATAAATTATCAGTTAAAAAACGGGGGTCACCGACCTTTTTAGGGAATTGTGGCATTAAAACGTGAAATACAAGTAAATAAATATACTACAGACACAGGACCCTAGCTACACTTTTGTATGCCTATTTTTGATAACATTGATTTTAACGTAATTCTTTGCACGAATCTAACCAAAGATGTTTTGAAGTAACATAACATTGTCATAAAATGATATTTTGTTTTAAACGATACGTATAATGGATGAAATTATAAGTTATAAGATGTGCGCAGTAAAAGTGCGCAATGCAAAACTGCGGAATTAACTTAAGCTTCCCGGGCGTGCGAGGGGAAAGGAAGGACTCCCGACAACACATCAAGAAACGAAATACGCCCACTTTTCGCTCTTGTCAAGTTGACTCCGCCTTTACCGAACGAGCAACATCCTGCGTTCTCGAACGCTCTTTAATTTGCCAGTGTAGGTAGCAACGATAACAAGACAATTGCGGATTGCGAGAAATACCTGAAAGATAGAGGCAGAACTTCGATATTTCGAGCGAAGGCTCTTCGTCTAGAAGTTAGTAGTACTATAGTCATAATCATGATCATGGTCATGGCCATAGTCATAATCATAATCATAGTCATAGTCATTTCAGAACCATCCTCAGAGATACGAAAAACTAGTTTCACATTAATCTGACACTGCAATCGACCAACGAAAAATTCGTTGCCTCGAGCGGGATTTGAACTCGAATCTTTGGCTATCTAGACCGCCGCTCTACCTATTGAGATATCGAGTCAACAGGGATTGGTAAGACAAGCGTTAGTCGTCACGAAAATATTTCGTGCGCTTAAATTGGATAAGACTCGCTACCAATCCCTGTTGACTCGATAGCTCAATAGGTAGAGCGGCGGTCTAGATACCCGAAGATGCGAGTTCAAATCCCGCTCCAGCCAACGAATTTTTCGTTGGTCAATTGCAGTGTCACATTAATGTGAAACTAGTTTTTCGTATCTCTGAGGATGGTTCTGAAATAGAATTGAAACACTGCGTAACCTCTAAGACAAGCGTTAAATCGTCACGAAAATATTTCGTGCACTTAAATTGGATAAGACTCGCTACCAATCCCTGTTGACTCGATAGCTCAATAGGTAGAGCGGCGGTCTAGATACCCGAAGATGCGAGTTCAAATCCCGCTCGAGCCCACGAATTTTTCGTTGGTCGATTGCAATGTCAGATTAATGTGAAACTAGTTTTTTTTAGTCATAATCATAGTCATAATCATAGTCATAGTCATAGTCATAGTCATAGTCATAGTCATAGTCATAGATAGATAGATAGATAGATTGATAGATAGATTGTTTGTTTAATAAGATTAACACATAGCAGCCAAGAGGCTGAATTGCGTGCTAAATTTTACAAGAGAAATGATTAAATTAGTTATTCTATATTTACAGAAGTTTAAAATTACATTACAATTTATAATTCTATATTACAGAAGTTTAAAGTTACATTACAAATTAGCTATGAAACTAGTAAATTTCTAAAAAAAAGTTAGCCAGTCTAAAACTGAATATCAGAATCAATTGTCAGTTAATATTATTGATATGCCTTGCAGATGAAGGGAAA